AACGGCCATATTTTGGAACGGCCCGTTCTCAACTCTGGAACGGCCTGTTCCCATCTAAAATTTGTAGACAATTTTTGTATTTTGAAACGGCCCGTTCCGGGCTACCAAAAGTAGGTCTATTTAGTAATTCGAAATGGCCGGTTCCAATTTTGGAACGGCCCGTTCTCAACTCTGGAACGGCCTGTTCCCATCTAAAATTTGTAGACAATTTTTGTATTTTGAAACGGCCCGTTCCGGGCTACCAAAAGTAGGTCTATTTAGTAATTCGAAATGGCCGGTTCCAATTTTGGAACGGCCCGTTCCGGCCTACTAAACCACCTTAATTGGGCTCTTAGCCCATTGAAAATTGGGCTGTTACAACAAGAGATTAACAACCTTGGGTTTAGGTTCACCTTCCCTAGAAACTCCAACTTCACAACATGGAATTAATGTAAATCATTATACTTCTCCACACCTTATACAACTCAAAACACCACAAAATAATCACATGCAACCACTACCAACTCAAAATCATCAACCCATCTTCAACATTCAACAACCCCAAAAATCCACAACATAAAATTCATGCATTCTCAACATAAATGTCACTAATGAGCCAAACAACATAGAAATCACCACATGCAACACAAAATACATCAATCTACAAGCTGATGTTACCTCTTAACGATCCATAAACGAAAAGAGAGAAGGATAAGACAACAATCTCCGTACGAATTCAGGGAGAGATCCTCGGCTTTAAGAAATTTTCGATCGCTATATAGCTTTGCGACTAGGGTTTTTGCGACTACTTAAATTCGGTCGCTAAGGCAAATAGCGACTGATTTTAGCAATTTAGCGACCAATTTTGGTGGTCGCTAAATGCAATTTTTTTTGTAGTGTGATTTCTCACTTTCTCTTACTTGGATAATCTTTAGATGATGGGTGCATTACTTTGGGATGATTTCCTTCTTACTTTTGTTCTTTGAATTCTGAGGCGCCTACGTGAAAATAGAGACATAAAAAGGTTTGATTAAAAAACTATTATTTTAAAAACCTTAATAACCTTCCATTAACCCTCTTTTAGTTAAAACACTTGACCACAATTACAAATTTCCTTTTCTTTTAATAAATATTATAATGACCTTTAATAAAATCACCATATATTATATTCTAAAATATATTAAATAATTAAAACAAATATTTAACAACACCTACTAATAAAATAAAAACATCAAATTTATTAATAAAATACTTATATTATATTATGAAAAATTGAGTGTTACATCAAGCGTTTATTGAGGTAAGGGGAAATTGAGGTAAGGAGAAAGTGAGTAATCTCACTCTAAAAAGTAGGATAATCATTGGATAGTGAAGTTGACTCTCAACCTTCGCATGTTGTATGAAAGGGAAATTTTATTGATGATTTGTTGTTTGTTCCATGATTCTTCAACTTCTTTATCGATGTTAATTGTAATTATTGATAATTAATTTGGTGTAATGAGCCATCTCAATATAATTTGAGTCTCCCATGAATTATTGTAAGCACACCTCCTATTTTTATTGAATATTAACTGTCTTTAATTATTCAAAAAATATTACATTAACACTTGTTATACATATCAATGTTAATTAATAAGTATTAGTAATTTGTAATCTTAATAAAAATGTTCAGAATTTAAATATCAACAATAAACTACTTTAGAAAAGTAATATACTCATCTTATATGTACTCACATTTGTAATCATTGCTAATAGTGTGATTAAGAAAAACATTTGTTACACATCACTTTTAACTTTTCTTAATTATTTTTAAAGCATCACATCAATCATTATTCTAGTTATTTAATTATTTATAAAACAATACATGATGATTTAAGTTACTTGTAATTTTGTAGAATTTCAAGACACACGTGCAAATCAATCAAATAAAACGACAAATGAGCATAGAACGTGGAGGCAGATCTAGAGGAGACAACAATTAGAAAACAGACAGAAACAAGTAGATCCCAGACGAAGTCACGAGCCACCTTGTGGCATCACTTGTACGCAAAAAGACTTGGTAGTTGGTACTTGGTACCTACCACCAGCAGCAACAATTAAGAATACACAAATTGCATCGTGACAGTGAGATGGAGGTAACTATTGAGGAGTCTTTGTCACGTGGCTTAGCTTCTTGAGATCCTCAACAAATGCATCAAGGTTCCGGTGAGAGGAGCCACCGTGGGCCCATGCGGCCTCTGCTGCACTCTTCCACTTCAACGCATTTTGCTTCAACTCCTCAGCTTTTGGCCCAACCATAGCTTCCACCAACAACCTCTGTATTTCATCTCTGCTTATGACTTTCTCCTCAGTCTCATCGCCACGCACTCGAATCCCCACCCCATAAACATCCACCACGAACTTGGCATTCGTGACTTGGTCACTTATTTGCGAGAACGTCAACATGGGCACCCCCGAAGCCAGCGCTTCCATGGTCGAGTTCCATCCACAGTGCGAGAGGTAGCACGCCACCGAAGGATGCGCCAGCACCTCCACTTGTGGGCTCCACTGCACCACTTTCCCTCTCTCACTCGTTCTCTCAAAGAACCCATCTGGCATAACATTAGCCTTCAGCGCCTCTTCCCTCTCAGACCCACTCAACACCCACAAAAACGATACTCGAGAGTTCAACAGCCCGTGAGCAAATTCTCCGATCTGTTCTACAGAGAGAGACACAATGGTCCCCAGGGAAATGTACACCACCGACGCACGTGGCTTTGAGTTTAGCCATTCCATGCAATCATCGTTCCTCAATGCTGCTGATGATGGGTTCTTGAACAAAGGCCCAACGGGCCTTACGAGGTGGAACTGCGACAAATAGTCCAGGTAACCTTGCTCCAACTCTTGGAACGTGTCCATCAACACGCAGAATGTTTTGGACAAGTTCTCAAACTGTTGCCTCACCAATGTCTTGAGAAAGGGAGTGCGACTAAAGGGGTGCAGAAAGTCAGGGATTTCGCTGTGTTTAAGGACTACGCCACCTGGCAATTCAACGAGGGTGTACGGCGAGGAGTCTGTGGGGAAAGGGGACAGTTTTTGGAAGTAACGGTGACAGGCGGTGAAGGTAGCAGCGGAGTGGATCCAGTAAAGTGCAGTAGGTATGCCGTGTTCCGCGGCGACATCGTTAACCCAGGAAAAGAAGGGGTTGTTGATGATGCACGAAACGGGGCGTTTTGCCTCGGCGTGTTTCTTTAACATTTCGGAAACGAATTGCTTCCCGATGCGGTCGAGGTGTGCTGTGTAGTCCAAAAGACTGCGCCTGGCGGGGTGATCGGCGTCGCTCGCAACGTCGTCGAAGAACTCGAAGCTGAGAAAACCGTCGCCGATGGAAGTGGGCGAGGTTTCGTTCATGGTGTAGTCGTTTTTTTGGGTGCCCTTCGTGGTGGAGAAGGTCACATAGCAACCCCTTGCAGCAAGGCACTTTCCTAGTCTTAGCATAGGGCTTACATGGCCTTGTGCTGGAAACGACACCAAGAGGACGTGAATCGGAGTTTCGACTGCCATTGTTACTGATTGTTTTTTAGTAAGTAGCGCTTACGAATGACATGCGACTCACTAATCACTATATAAGAGCATCACAATAATCACGAGAGAGATAAATAAATAACAAGTTGGTTTCATTACTCTTTAATTTCTTTTCTCTTTATTTTTTAATTAAATTATTTATTATTTTCACTTTTTTTTTTTTATCTTATTTCATACGTAGGAATGAGAAAGTCTTAGGAGTGGGTATAGGTAATCCTTTCCATCAAATAAATATTCATTTAATATTTGTCTTCAGATTCATGTGAGTATATGTTAATAATTAATCATCTATATTTATACTGGTAGTTAATCAAAATTGTTAATAATATTTTTTATTTTAATTTAATTAAATAAATAAATGAAAAAATACTATTAGTTATTAATATAAAAAAAATTTTATATTAATAATGTATAAATGATTAACTCATGTGTTAATAGCTGTTATCTCTTTCATTGTCTTGTAATCGTTTACATATTTCTGAAAGTGGAGATCCTAAAATCAGGATTATTGTGATCCTGCGAATATCTTCCATAATCCCAATATATTTGTTTAGCGGGGATTCGCATATTTTTTTAATATTTGCGAATATCTATGAGTATTTATTAAATATTGGGTATCTTTAAAGAAGAAAAAAAATTCAACGAAACCCAGATTTGATTGAGAATAGAATCGAATCGTGGGTATTTTGGATAAAATTTTCATTATCTGAATTTTCAAGGCGTCGAAAGTATTGAAAATTATTGTAGTATATTTGTTTTCTATGCCAAGCAAAGAAAAAGATAAGAAACACGTGTACAGAGATGAAGAAACTTGAATTTGAGGCATTATTTTCATTTTTTTCTTTACAAAATTAATAAAATATGAGAAGAAAAAATTTCGGAAGAAAAGGCTGGTGGACACGCAGCCACAACCTTATAGAAAGTATATTAAAAGTCTAATTTAACGGTATAAAAAAATAATTATTTATTTATATTGTTATAACTTTAATTTTAACAGCAAAAATATACATTTTGTACGTCTCTTATATTATTTAATAGTATTAATTTAGTTTCACTTTAATTATTGGAATCAATTTGATTCCACACGTTTAAAATATATGTCAATGTTTACCTTTCTGTTTAGTCCGTTTAAAAATTTAATGGTGGTGTCTACGTGGAAATGTGTATTATTTTTATTAATGACGTGGATTATTAGGATTGATGAGGTGAATTATTAAGCATTCTTTTAGGGCTGTTGTTTACTTTTGTGTATCATCTTGGTTTCTTCTTCTTCTTTGTGTGTTTCTTCTTCTTCCATTCGTGCATTTCTTCTTCTTTTATTTGTTCTCCATGATGTTGCGTGTCTTTGACAATTTTCGACCAATGAATTATGAATCTTCAATGAATTCATCTTCGTCGGGTATGTACGTTGGTGGTCGTGGTAGATCGTTTGTGCCAGCTTGTTATTGTGGCGATGTGGTTGTTTTACGAACAGCGAAGACATCTGCAAATGATGGTAAAAAGTTTTGGGGTTGTCCCAAGTACAAGGTATGTCTCATTTTAGGTGTAGGGTTTGATTCTCCTTTTGGGGTTTGTGTCTGATAAGTTTTTAATTTTTTTGTAGAGTGGTGATAATGAAAGTGGTTGCAACTTCTTTGAATGATTTTTAGAAGAATTTGTTGATGAGAAAGACTTGTTGATTGCTAGACAAAAGAGAAAGATAGCCCTTCTCCAAAGTTCATTGAAATCAACAAAATGGTGGATGAATATGTTGATTATTTTTTGTAATTGTTTTGGTGATGATAAATGTGTTTGTCATGATGGTTTTATGTAATAAGTTGGGTCAAATTGGAAATTTGGCTTATTTGAAGTAGGGTGGCTGATGATTGTGTTGTTCTGTGTAGTGTTTTATTAGTAATAGAAGGGTGGTTCATGATTGTATCGTAGGGTTATTTATGATTGTATTGTAAAAAGTTGCATTGTGCAAACATTTGTACTACTTTTGAGTTAATTCAGATATGTTGAATGGCACCCTCAATCTGATTTTATATGTTTTGTTTTGTTCAACATTTAAAGACAACAAAAAGAAGCTAATTACATGGCTTGTAAAAACTGAGAGAGGACAATATTAAAGTATGTGATACATGTACAATCAACATTAAAATCAGTAATTAAAAGTGCAACAAAAAGCTTTAAAAACATATATAATCAACATTTGCATTATTTGGAGGCACCATGTGCTTAAGAGGGTGGCCCATTTACACTGCTTCATTGTCATAATACGACTAATCAATATGCAACAACACATACCAACACAACAAGGAGTACAGTTCATATGAGTTTTAAAATAAGAATCTATGGGATCCATTCAATGTCCCAATGCCAGCAGAATAACAAAATAATAACAGAATCTATGGGATCCATTAATTGTACCATAATTGTATCATAAGAACAACAAAGTGACTTGCAAAATATTACATAAAAAAAAGTGGGCTTATCAATTTTTTCCCATTACACAATAACAAAATAACAATCTATATAGTTGTTAAGTCAGACTTCATGGTTTCCAATGGGGTTTCTTCCTAATCTTCAACTTTTCCCTGACAGATCGAGCAGGCTTGGTAGGTTCCCTGGGTTTAATTTGTTGGGGTTGGCTTGATGTTGCCTGAGTTTGTTGGGGTGGTTGGCTTGATGTTCCTTCGATTTGCTAGGGTGGTTGGCTTGATGTTGTCTGTGTTTGGTTAGCTTGAGGTGTCTGCTGGTTAGTTTGGCTGCCTTGAGTTTGCTGAATTGGTGTATGTTTGCAACTTAATTTGTTATGTCCAACATTTAGGCACCTACTACATCTCCTTTGAAATCAATTCCTCTCAATTGTGTATCATTTTTTTCAGCTCTTATGCTTCTAAGTTTCTTCTCTTTTTCGGTCTATCAGGCATTTTCTTTGATTTGGTGGAAGAACGTCATCACACCATGTTTTGGCCCATAGTTGCTGCCCATTTACAGGATATATGATTGGTGCATACACAACTTCATATGTGGCCTTCTTGTAATAGTCTGACACATACTCCTTGGGATCCAAATTCATGTAATTCATACATGATATTGCATGACAACATGGAAGTCCAGTCAGCATCCATTTCCTGCAGCTGCAATCTTATGTCTGCAAGTTGACAATATACTTGTCTCCAATTTAGTTGATGTTCCTTACCTCAAATACCTTCTCTCCAGCCCAACTAACAAAAAAAAATTTCAAATTAGTTATCAAGTATGCTGACCACCATTTTGAAATTAGATATCAATTTTGATATACCTTGGTAACCACCATTTTGTTTGTTGACCTTCTTTATCAAGTTTTTTTTTGTATCTTTGGTAGAATATTTCCTTCATATAAAACAATATTTCTCCGAGTTTTACCCCATCTTTCCATCATGTAGACCCTTATGTCTTCTAACATGGAGACAATGGGCTTATGTCTAGCTTCGACAATGACACTATTGAAAGCTTCACTCATGTTGTTGACAAGTGCATCACATTTTGGGTTCGGGGTAAGCCTAGACTTACTCCAAAATCTGAATTTTTTTTTAAAAATATAATAAGTATCTAAATATTTAATATTAGATTCATAAAGAAATATTTACCTTCGTGGGATCTGAATTAAATTTTGAAGGCTTCCACATTGACTTTCTTAATTTATTGCATTTCTCTTTCCCATGCTTGAGGATAAGTGGATGTGGCAGCCTTCCACATTAAATCCTTCAACTTTTTTCCTGGAAACTTGTTTCAGAAGTTGTTGTACAGATGTCATACACAAAACCTTTAATCTATACCAGGCAATAACTTATTCAAAGTTGGCAGCAAACCCTATAAATAAATAATAAAAAAAGCAAACACAGTTAAATAATATACAAAATATAACTAGCAAAAACTAAAGGTGTGCAGTTATTTAAAATTTTACCTTTTGTTGATCAGAAATGAAGGTGTAAGTACCACAAACTGTGTAGCCACCCAAATCAGAAATTAGGAGTTGTAAAAACCATTCTCATGACTCTCTTGTCTCTCCTTTAACCACTGCCATACATATTGGCAATATTTGATCATTTGGATCTGTTCCAATTATTGCCAATATTTGCCCACCAAAATATCCCTTCAAAAAAACACCCATCCAAACCAATAATAGGTCTGCACTTGAAGAAGCTATCTTTACATGCTTTAAAACAAATATACATCCTTTGAAAAATTAGAAGAACTCTAGCAAGATTTTCATTATTTTCATCATCATTCCTATTACCCTCAACCTTAACCTTGATTGTTGATCCAGGATTTGACCTCAATAGCTCATGACTATAATCATACAACCGCTTGTATTGCTCAATAAAAGAGCCTTCCACCATGCTCTTTGCAGCATTCCTCGCCCTAATTGTCATTGACTTAGATATTCTAGCATTCCACTTCCTTTGGACCCTTTCTCTAATATCATTAATCTTCAATTTAGGATTTTTCCTTATAGCAGTTTTTAGCTTGCCACTTAACCATTTTGTACTCAACAAGTTTACCTTGTACTCTCTACTACATGTGTGTTTATCAACTATCTTTCTTAATTGCCAAGTTTGTTGATGAGGTATTTTCCCACAATATGACTCCCATGGACACCCTGATTTGCATATGACCCGAACTCTCCTGTTGTCATTTTTTGTGAATTTCAAGTTTATACCTGAATGCATAGCATAAGTAATAATTGCTTCTTTGAATTGTTCCCTCCCTAAAAAGTATGTTCCAAGTTCCCATTTGTAATCTGTCATGTTGCTTGGCATCTTAAAACATGGAAATTGGCTTGTCCCAAGACCCTCTTCATCACTACTATCATCAACTCCACTAACAAACTCCTCTGATTCATATTTAGAATCAGAAATACCCCTATCCATATGGTTTTTTCCTTTGTGAACTGAATTTTTTAAAAAATAATTAATCATCTGAATCACTTGAATCATCATTCTCAAATACTGGCTCTGGAATAGGCTTACATGTAGTCTTCTTGGCCTACCCCTCTTGTTGCTAGTCCCTTCTACATAGTCGTCAAAATTGCCA